TCGAAAGCATGTAAAAATGTGAGTAGATAAATAGGTACCACCTTGGTGGGAAGGTCACGGCGTTCCGTGTCTAGTGGCGCTGGCCACATGGCCACGGAAACTGTCTTCAGACAAACGCTGGCTCTAAAGGCTTGGAGACAGGGACGAGGACCATGCCCTAGAGTCGGACACGGCTGGACATTTGTCAAGGGGAACCTTTACCTTTAATAATAATAAATTGGACCCATCTAAAAAACCCCCAAACAGGTTAGGAAAACACCCAAGGGACATCCAGGAGAGAGAGAGAAAACAAGAGGGCTGGGGGAAATCCTCTTGACTCCCAGCCTGGGCTCAGGATTGCATCATTTAAGCATCCTTTTAGTACAATCTGACCCTTTATCTTCGTTTTTTTTTCTCCCCTTCCCTTTGCTCCCCTGACACAGACTTTGTAAAAAAAAAGAAAATTAAAGATTTACCAGCAGAGGGGAAAGTGATAAAAATCCCTGTTCAGAGAGAGAATCGGAAAAGTACTGGAAAGAAGCAACAAAAACTGAAGCTTGGGAACGCCCCTCCTCTTTTCAAGGGGGGGACTACAACTCCCAAAATCCCCCAGCCAGCTGAGCTGACTGGGGATTTGGGGAATTGTAGTCCCCCCTTTTTAAAAAAATTTTTTTTTAAAAACCCAGGGGTCAGGGTCGGGGGAGGGGAAAACCAAACAGACCGCCCCCCCCCCGTGTTCCCAACTTACGATCTTGCGGCTCCGGCTTTGCAAATCTTATTTTCTTTCCTCGCCGGGGAGAGCCGTCCAGCGGGGGTCAGGATCCGCGCCGTCTTTTTTCCCCCCACTCACCTCGATGCCAAGGAAGCAAGAAGCAGCCGCGATCTGGGGCTGGCAGCCGGCCACATTTTCCTGCCCAGTGGTGATGGTGCCGCTTGGCTTGGCTTGCTTCTTTTTTTTTTCCCTAACTTCCAAAATTTAATTTAACCGGTGCATCACACGGCCAAGGCTCCGGCTGTTTACACAGACCGGGTCTGGTGCAGGGTGTCATTTTGCACTTGGGGGTGGGGTGGGGAAGAGGAGGATTTCCACCCATCCACCCCCCCACCTCCGATCCGGCCCGGAGAGAATCCTGATTGGCTCCGGAGCAAACCCAGCCGGCAGCCTTGGGGAGGTGGAGTAAAAGAGGAGGTGGAGAAAGGGACGGCCGGCTGGCTGCCTGGCCTGGCCGTGAACTTGCCAAGATAAAGAAAGCGAGAGCCGTTCCGGGTTGAGTGAACTCAGCCCAGATAACTTCCCTCCCAGCTGGATCTTGAGGACTAGCGCCTCCCCCTCCCACCCCAAACAGCCAAGGAATCACGCGCTGGCTTCTTTGCTTTCTTTCTGCATTTCTTGGTTCCACCTGGGTCCTGGCTTTTCCTCAAGGTGTAAAGGGCTCCCTCCGTGTGAACACAGCCCGCCTCGGGAAAGGGAGGCCAGGCAGAGAGATTTTGAGAGCAAAAGAAAGAACTTTCCAAAGTTCAGGTCTTGAACTTGCCAAGTTTGCAAAGAGGGAACGCTGGCCATGAAGTTCAGACCTTGGTGAAGGGAGCCGAGAGGTCTTTTCCCCCCCTTTTCTAGCCTCAACTTTAGTGGAAGGAGGAATCCTGAAGATGAAAAGAGGCGAGGGGGTTAGAGGCTGTGTGCTGCTGAAAGCAAAACCATGAGGACTAGCGCCTTCATTAAGCATCAGAGATGTGTTTGTAATGTATTGGTTTCACTTCTGCCCTGTGAGCTAACGGTGCCAGGTACAGTTTTTTTTTAAACAGCCAGATATACAATGTGTTCCCATTGCTTAGCTCGGTCAGGAGATAGGCTGCCTCTGAACATGGAGGCCCCACGCTGTACTATTCTGCATTTCTTGGTTCCACCTGGGTCCTGGCTTTTCCTCAAGGTGTAAAGGGCTCCCTCCGTGTGAACACAGCCCGCCTCGGGAAAGGGAGGCCAGGCAGAGAGATTTTGAGAGAAAAAGAAAGAACTTCCCAAAGTTCAGGTCTTGAACTTGCCAAGTTTGCAAAGAGGGAACGCTGGCCATGAAGTTCAGACCTTGGTGAAGGGAGCCGAGAGGTCTTTTTTTCCCCCTTTTCTAGCCTCAACTTTCGTGGAAGGAGGAATCCTGAAGATGAAAAGAGGCGAGGGGGTTAGAGGCTGTGTGCTGCTGAAAGCAAAACCATGAGGACTAGCGCCTTCATTAAGCATCAGAGATGTGTTTGTAATGTATTGGTTCACTTCTGCCCTGTGAGCTAAGGGTGCCAGGTACAGTTTTTTTTTAAACAGCCAGATCGACAATGAGTTCCCATTGCTTAGCTCAGTAAAGAGATAGGCTACCTCTGAACATGGAGGCCCCACACTGTCCAAATTGACTCAGTTTGATTCCATTATGTGTCTGTCCCAGCTTTCCTGCTATAAATTTTGGAATGTGCCAAATGTATCTCTCCTCCCTTTTTAAAAACAACAACCCTGTGAGGCAGGCCAGGTTGAGAGAGAACAGCTGGTTCAGAGACCTGGTGGGTTTGGTGTCTTAGTGGGGGGGAAAATCCAGCCACTCTAACCACTACTCTGCCTGGCCCTCAGGAATAACTGGTTTTGTTTAGCATAATGTTCCAACTTTCCAAGCTTTGGCTTACAGGCGTTTTGCAAGAGAGGAAGAAATCTGGTTGTTTTGCTGCAGGTCGGGCTTGCTTAACGAGATATAATGACAATAATTAGTGCAGTTATAACGCATTAAGGGTGAACAGCGCAGACGTTTAATTATGCCAGGTGCCAGTTTCAAACCACAGGGCCTTCTGAGAGGTGTTCGAATGCACCTCCTCTTGAGGTGGGTCACCTGAGCTAAGGTTGCCAACTGAATCAGAAGCGGGTGGGGAGTGCTCTTGTGCTCTAGCAGGCCATCTGTATTTGTAAATCAGAATATGACACTTGTTACAGGTTAGAGGTGAGCAGTATAGCTCCTCACATCTGCAGGAGTTGCACGGATCTGGAGAAAAATTTGCAAAGGCAATCTAAATATCTTCCAAGGATTAATTGGCAAGGTAACACTTTTATTCTTTTGGTTTTCAAACAGCTCCCATCGTTCTTCACCATTTGGCCATGCCAGGTGAGGTTTCTGGAAGTTGAAGGCCAGCGCCTACGGATGGCGACAGGAGCGTCCCCCACTGATCTTAGGGTGCTCCCACTTTTAGCAGGATTTTCCCCATCAGGCTGTGTAGTATTTAAATATATATTACAAAAACGAACACACACAGTTTCCCAGACACATCGGCTCTGATTGCACTCTGGACTCTTGACAGCCTGTTGCTCTAAATAGCAAATGGATTCAAAAGTCGTCTTTTAGAAATAATATCAATGCATTACTTTTGGAAACATTGTTTTCATAAAGTTAGATTGGTTTTTGCTTGTTCATGCAAATGTCAAAAATTTTACATGAATGTCTGATGTTCTCTAGGCTATGGTGAAGCGTATGATGGGATCTCCTATCTTTAAAAAAGGTTAATTTATTAAAAGGGTTAATTGTTGTAATGGGAAAGAATTTTGATCAGGGCCACAGCACAACAGGGAAGAGGGGCTTCAAGTCATTTTTCCTGTCCTGTGTTTCACTTCTACTCTTGGGTTTTGTAGTTGTTTTCATCATCTGCTCCCAAATTAATAGCAGTTGGAGGAAGAAGATGCTGTGAATGGGTTCCAGAATCCAATTTTTAAAAAAATATTGCTTGATTTATAGGGAGATTTGTTTAAACTTTGATTTTTTTAAAAAAATTCTTATTCTTGTGCAATGTACAGCCCAAGCTTTTATGTTTTTAGCATAGCTGGATTGCCCTCTACTGGGCAAGAGTCTCATCAAAACCAGCAATCATCCTGGGTCAGTAGATCCATAGGATTTGACTTGCAAACAGAGAGGTACAGAATCCTGCCTGGAAAAATAATAAATGACCTTGGACGTAAGAGGTCTGTATCCCTAGACGAAAAGGAACCAGGAGGATGGAAACATGATGGGAATATACAGTACTGTACAACAAAGCCCATGTGTGATCAATCTCAGGATGCTCTGAATGGATGATGGTTTGTTCGAAGAAGGCTTTTGAAACAACTAACCATCAACCCATAGCATCTTAGGAGGTGCTGAACATTATGAATGACCTTACAAAGCTCTTATGAATTTGCCAGCCTCCCGGAAAGGAAGGTCATAAAGAAAAGGAAAAATTAAATCCTTTAAAGACATAAAACACCAGCTGCATCCCTACAATTTCTACTCAGCCCAATCCTATGGAATTGAACCGTGATAATTTTAAGGAAACAAAGGCAGAAGAGCGCAGCGCTAGCTGTCTGCTCAGGAGTAAGTCCCATTCTTTTCAAAAATGAATCTCCCTCCAAAGTATTTCCGCCTTGGGTTGCTTTTGGTCAAACCTTAGGGTGCAAAGTTAACATGTTTTACCCTGCACAATTGTGTTTTCTTTCTTCCTCTTGAGGAACAGATCTGTGATCCTGAAAGCTTGCAATTTGGTGTTTCAAATTAATTAAATTGGCACCTTAGTATGTGTTTTTGAAGAAAAAGTGGGGAGAAAATGTAATGTGTATATCCTCCTCCCCTTCCTCTGTGTATAATAATAATACATAATAATGACCTCATTAGTTATTGTAACTTTTAAAAACAGAGTTTTATTCAGTGGAGAGAATACTAATGAACCGGACTAGCATCTGCTTCTTCGCATGCCGTATCATAATCAGAGTCTGGAGGCGTTACTTTTATTGGGAACTTTGTGGTCCCAATAAAAGTAACGCCTCCAGGCTTTGCTAACACCACGGCCTGCGCAAGCGCAGTCCAAACCCAGGCGCCATTTTACGTAACAACGGTTTCCAACCACCGCGCGAGGCGATGCCGTGAGGGGGGTTTCAGGCTTCAGCGACGGGAGGGCAAGCCAATAGAGAGCTTCGGCTGAGCCAATAGAATTCTTCCAAACCCAGAGGAGGCTTCTAGAAGGGGCGGAGAGGGGGGGGGTCAACAGAGGCCCCGCCCCTGGCTCGCTCTGCGGCTGCGCGTGGCCGCCGTCAGCCGTCCAGTCAGGTCGTGAGCGGGCGTGGAGGCTCTTTTTTGCCCGGGCGAGATGGCGGTGAGGGCGCTGAACCCCAAGGCGGAGGTGGCGAGGGCCCAGGCCGCCCTGGCCGTCAACATTAGCGCGGCGCGGGGCCTCCAGGACGTGCTCCGGACCAACCTCGGCCCCAAAGGAACCATGAAGATGTGAGGCCAGAATGCCGGGCTGGGAAAGGGAAGGGAGGAGGCTGAGGGAGAAAAGGGGAGGCGGGGCCAAACGAAGCCCCGCCCAGCCGCATGGTTTTCCAGGGCGGGCGGGGCCTTCGGCGCATGCGCGAGGCCCTTGCAGGGGTGGCGAAACTTTGGCGCCCCACGTGTTTGGGGGGGGGGCTTCGACTCCTACAATCCCCAGCCTGTATTGCGAGGGATCAAGGACGATGGGAGTTATAGTAAAAAAAAAAATAGAGGCTTAAAGGCTTGCCATTCCTACAGGGCGTCTCAAAAGGTGTCAAGACACGTCTGGAGGACCATTTGAGGCAGATATTGCGTGTCTTCCTGTTGGTATTAACACTGTTAGGGCTGATATTTTGTTCTTTTTTTCCTCCTCTACTCCCCAACTTTTCTGTCTTTTAATTTGCCAGCATGTAAAGGATGATGTCTTTGCACGGGTGCCAGGTGGAGCTGTTTTGATAGGCCTTCTGATATTAGTTTCATTTTTTGTCTTTGTGTTTTCAGTACTTGTGTGAAGTATTTTTGTTGTTTTAGCTTGTTATAGTTTTCTTTAATGTTGCTGTTTGCTGTTCTGGGATTTCTCCAACAGAGGAATAACTTATAACTGAAAGCAATGAATGAATATTATTATTGGACTTGGGAACGGGTTTCCAGTACCCATATATAGAGATTTTGTTGGGTGAAAGCAGGACAGTTTTCTCACACCTTAAATTTCTTTCTTTCTTGTTTTATTATTTATTATTTCCTCCTAAAAGGGCCCAAGATGGCTTACAGTATTAAAAAAAAGAAGCAGTATTGGCCCTGTTCTTTGTGTAGCTAGAATGCATGTCGTTGAGTTGCTTCTCACATATTGGAACCCTAACAGTGTTTTCAAGGTACATGAGATGTTCAAGGAGGGCTCTTACCAGCATCACCAGTTCAGTCCAACATGCTCACCATTTGCTATACCATACTGGTTCTTGTAATAAGAAATAGCAGTCCATTTGAAAATGGTGTAGGCAAGGAGAATTTTACAACTGCAGTTCTCCTATCAAAGTTCTTGCATAGTTTCATGCTGTGATGGGGGCTGAGAGAGTGAGTATTGTATCTTCATCGCCCATACCTCATAACCTTGATGCTGTGGTCGGTTTAGAGGACAGAGGGTTTGGTGGGCAAATGGTTGGCTACAGTTTCTGCTCTTCTGTGAGTTCTTTGTGCATATCTGTCTCGTCATCTTTGGAGGGAATGCTGGCACTTGGGTTGATGGTTCTCTCTCCCCCGCAGGCTTGTGTCTGGTGCTGGAGATATCAAGCTTACTAAAGATGGCAACGTCTTGCTTCATGAGATGGTGAGTCCTTTTTTTCCCCTGGAATCCATTAAAAAAATCAGGTCATGTACACTGAGGATTTATTAGACCAATAGTTACTGGCTGGAATTGTTGAGTATTTGGCCTGTCAGAAGGCTGGCCTTAAAAAAGGCAGTGTGCCTAGTTAAAAGGTGCCTCATTGAAGTTTGGTTGGTTTTTTGAAAGAGGACGTTGAGCTCAGCTTGTGCATAGCTAGTGAGAGAGTTTGAAAGTTGCAGCCGAACCACAGCAGAAGCTGTAATGTGTTTAGAAGCTGAATGTGTTCAGCTCTCTCTCCAGTGTTCCTGCAATACCAGGCAATTCTAGCTTGGTAGCTCTTCAGAAACTCGCATTTTGTGGCGAAAGGGAGCTTTGGATCTCAGTACCGCTGAAACGTCTTGGTGATGGTTGTGTTTGTTGCTTGGCTGGTGAAGACATGCAGCACTCCCTGGAGGGATGAGGAATAATGGTGGTGTCTCCTTCCTCCCCCAGCAAATCCAGCATCCGACTGCCTCCTTGATAGCCAAAGTCGCCACAGCGCAGGACGACATCACAGGTGATGGGACAACCTCCAACGTTCTCATCATTGGTGAGCTGCTCAAGCAGGCAGACCTCTACATTTCAGAGGTATGTGGCTGGTTGCCTTTGTACTTCAGGTATTGAGACGGGTTGTTGTTTCTTAAGGGAAATGCAACTTCTGGCAGATTTTGATCTAACCGACTGCATGGAAATGTCTTGTCCAAAAACGTCTTGTTGCACAATGAACAGCCAAGCGAGCTCTCTAGTTCCCTTGGCATAACTCTGTGCTAGAATAAGCTGTGCTTTACCCTCTGCATTGGAAGGATTTTTCCCTTTTATATGTATTCAAAAGGACAGTACAAGCATCATGCAGGCAAAGTCTGATCAGTGCCAGCGTCATGTGCCCAAAATTATAATACGGTAGAAAAGCCAGAACTTTTCATTTAAATGCTGCTTTAAAAGATGCAGCTTTTTCTAGTTGCCCAGATATACCAAAATTGTCAAGCGAGGGAAGATTTGTGTGACTGTGTTTGTTTCCAGCTGCAAATACATTAATCACTACTTTGCCCTTAGGGTTTGCATCCCCGAATAATTACAGAGGGCTTTGAAGCGGCCAAGGAGAAAGCCCTTGAGGTCCTGGAGCAAGTGAAGGTAGTGAAGGACACAAAGGAGATGGACAGGGAGATGCTCCTGGATGTGGCCAGAACCTCCCTTCGGACCAAGGTCCACGCTGAGCTTGCGGATATATTAACCGAGGTGAGTGTGTGGCTTCTTAGCTTGTGTCCCCTAAGTAAGTGACCTAAATGCAGCAGGCACAGAAGTTGATGAATATGGGAGGCATAGAAAACTCTAGTTTTTGAAAGTCGTATTTAAAGGAGCTGCTCTCTTTCCTTTCAAGGCTGTTGTGGATTCCGTTCTGGCAATCAGGAAACCAAATGAGCCGATTGATCTGTACATGGTTGAAATAATGGAGATGAAGCACAAAACCGAAACTGACACATCGTAAGTAAACTCAGTCGGTTTATAGGTCCTGCTTTTTGTTCAGCTGGGCTGCAGGGCCCTGCCAGCTCCTGGTACTCCCCCAGCCTCCAGCCTGTGATACTTCCTTCTGCTGGGGAGATGCGGCCCTTGTCGCTACTCCTCAACTTTGCTGGTTCAGGAAAGATGCTGCTGCTTACCTGAGTGCCTCTTGGGTATCCTTAGGGGCTAAAGAAATGGAATACAGATGTGGATAAGCTGGAAATAAGGTCTTGGTGAGGAAGGCATGGGTGAATTCTGCGTTGGCTTTGACAGTGGCTAATGGAGTCAGACACCATGCGAGAAAAAGGGTCTCTGCCTTGGGTTATTTGCGTGGCCTGCTGTCTGGAAGGCAGCCTGTCCAGGTCCGAGGCAGGTACACAACTAAGATGCTTGCCATCTATTGAAAGTCAGTTGGGTGGGAGAGGTGCCCGGCTGCAGGTGTGATAAGCAGGAGCTGAAGCAAGTACATTTCAGGAGATCTGAAACTGCTTCCTTTATAGGTTGATCCGAGGCCTTGTCTTGGATCACGGCGCTCGCCATCCTGACATGAAGAAGCGCGTGGAAGACGCTTACATCCTCACTTGTAACGTATCACTCGAGTATGAGAAAACGTACGTCTCTAGCAGGGTTTGGTGTATTTGGTTGTTCAAGGAGGTGGTGGTGGGGGGTTTGTGCTGAAGAAGCTTTGATACAGACCCAGAGAGGCCCAGATTGGGTTAATGGACTCTTCTGCCAAGTGGTTGTCTCTAAAATTGCTGGCTTTAATTTTTCTTGCCTCCAGCTGCATGCTTATTGACAGCGTCGGGATAATGTGGTCCATTTTTCTATTTCCAGAGAGGTGAATTCCGGGTTTTTCTATAAAAGTGCGGAAGAAAGAGAGAAACTGGTTAAAGCAGAAAGGAAGTTCATTGAGGAGCGAGTGAAGAAGATCATCGATTTGAAGAAAACCGTCGTGGGAGACTCCAGTAAAGGTTTTGTTGTGATCAACCAGAAGGTGAGGCTCCGGGTTTGGAGGCATTGTGGCCAGGCAGCACTTTGAGATCCTGGGACTTCACTGGATCCTTAGGAATAAGTTGAATTAATCAGAAAGGCCTGCTTAGCTTTTGTTACTCTTTGTTTTATAGGGGATTGACCCTTTCTCCCTGGACGTGCTGGCCAAAGAAGGAATCATCGCTTTGCGCAGAGCAAAACGGAGAAACATGGAGAGGTCAGTGTATTAACATCAAACATTGTGGGTTTGCCTGGGGCTGCGGGCCTTGTCTTAGGTAGCAGAGGAGCTTGTTATACAGTCATGTGCCATATATCCCATATTCAATCAAGGCAGCTTGCTTGGCATTTTCTAGGTACTGTATAAAGTAGTTGGGAATGGCTTTGCTGCCCCTCCTTCAGGAGGTGCTTTGGGACCGCCGTGCAACTTGCCAAAGCCACCCAGGTGGCAGGACATGTCGCCTAAACAGACCATCCAATGGTTTCCTATGGAGAAAAAACAAAAAAATCATCACTGGGACCGCTGTACAACTTGCCAAAGCCACCCAGATGGCAGGACATGTCGCCTCAACAGTCACACAGCCACCTCCTGCGCGATCTGGCCCAGTGGATATTCACACCCTCGGCCCCTGGCCCTGCAGCCAGGGACTCCCACCCTCTGAGCTGTATTTGTTATACACAGATGTAAGAAAGAGAGACACAAGGTAGGGCACGGATTTTACTTGCACCGACTAGCATGGTAGGAATTCTAGCAGCTGTAATGTTTGCTTCCAAGGAAACAGAAACAACGGGATGCTGGCAATATCCAGTAGATAGCCATATTTATCCAGGTGTATCTGTTTCTGTTCTATTCTACAAAGGCATAAATCTGTATTTTGCAAGTGGAGTTGCCTGGAATAGAGGAGTGAAGCATCCTTTTTGTTGTGTCCAACAGGATGATGTAGAGATGCCCTGAAACGTGCCTTTTTCTTCCCCAGGTTGACTCTTGCCTGTGGAGGCATTGCCATGAATTCAGTGGAGGACCTCTCGGTAGACTGTCTGGGACACGCAGGCCTTGTCTACGAATACACGCTGGTAGGTGTTTGTGTGTGAGAGAGACAATCTTTTGTTTTTAGTGAGAGGGCCTTGTCTACGAATACACGCTGGTGGGTGTTTGTTTGTGCGTGTGTGAGAGAGAGAGAGAGACAATCTTTTGTTTTTAGTGAGATTGGCCTTCTGCCATAGTACCTGGCTTGGTTTTCTTGCAACACTTCTGCAGAAGCATTTGCTGCTGGATACAAGCATATTCGAGTATATTCTGAATCGGTGTAAAATTCATAAAGCTTGAAGCAGTCACATACTTACAATGTGTTCTGCTGAGCAGCAGCAAAATAGTTGTGCAGATAGTGTTCTTGGAATTTTGGGTTGGTAAGAGTTGTTGGGGGACTCATCCTGACCCAAGTGAGGGTGGAAAGCACCCATCCATTTCTGAATACTCTTGGTTTCTTTATATTGGATTGATGAACTGTTTGTTTTTTTAATGGCATTTGGATAATTCCTTGTTTGATCTGCTTGCATAGGGTGAGGAGAAATTCACTTTCATTGAGAAGTGCGACAACCCCCGTTCGGTGACTCTGTTGATCAAAGGCCCAAACAAGCACACGCTGACGCAGATCAAGGACGCTGTTCGGGACGGACTGCGTGCTGTCAAAAACGCCATAGAGGATGGTGAGTCTCGGTCAGAAACATGGCTTAACATTTCCTCGTATCCTCCAAAGCCAGGGCTGAGTGGGTGATGAGGATCTTTTGGTTTTAGGGTGCACTGCTTTTTATGGGGGCCCTTGCTTCTTCTCCAGGTTTGTGTTGGCTAAGGGTGTCGAAGAGACACACAACCGCAGGGGAGGGGGCTACTTACACAGGGAACCGTCTGATGGAAACGAAAGAACCCAGTTCTTCTCGCACAGTCTCTGTACTGTTTGTAACATAGTAAACCTTTAAAATCACCTGGATAGAATTTTAACAAGTCCACAATCACATATTGTTTGCAGTGCTTGTTAAAATACTACATAAGCATAGGATGGTACAGTAGAAAAGGGAAAATGAGGCTTATAACAGTATACATATCAATCAATCAATTGACAAGAGCCTCTGTAATTGCATATGGGGGGGTCAGAATGGTGCCAGCCTAGGCAAACACCTGTTGTGTTGTCAGACGTATTTTCAAGTGAATCCATACATATTGGTTATGTTGCTGGAACCAATTCTGTTAGCGAAAGATGAGTGGAACCCACCCAGGGAAGTTCCCCTTTTTAGTGTTGTCTTTCATGGCACTATATTCTAACTGTCCGGGTCACCTCTTGACAGCCAGCCATTGTTCTGCTTTCTTTGGTGTAGCCGTGAGCTTGTTGCTACTTCCCACATGTGTGGATGGTTCCATTTTGCCTGTGTGTGGAGTGACACCCAGAGAATTGAGATTCCTTTTTATTTTTCTGGAGATCTTTTCTACTGCCTACCAGAGTGAATAGAAATCAATGATTTAAATGGGATTTAAATTAAAAATTCAACGTTTTTATTAAAATAATTAAAAAATCTATTCTATTTAAATTGTTTTAATTTAAATTAAATCCACCCTGCTTTCTACTAACCAAAGTAATCGTAATCCCACAATTAGGAAGGCCCCAGGTTCCAACGTAGATGTAAATAACTGTATGAACTTCAGAAAGCAAATACAACCAAGAATTGAGGATTTCAGTTTATTGTTCTTCCTCATAGAGAAGACGGAGAAAGCTTCCTGTTTAGTAAATAATACAACTGGACCTTGGGTTGATTTTCAGGATGTGCTCAGCTGTGTCTTGCATTTGGACCTGATGTTGCTGTCATTCCTACCACGTTGTTAAGGATGCCTGCTGTCTCGTTTCAGGTTGCGTAGTTCCAGGCGCTGGGGCCCTGGAGGTGGCCATTGCCGATGCTCTTGTGAAACATAAGGCCACCATCAAAGGAAGGGCCCAGCTGGGGGTGCAGGCTTTCGCCGATGCCTTGCTCATCATTCCTAAGGTATAGCAACCCTTTTGGGGGAAGGTGATTTGATTTATCTGGCTCCTTGTGCCAGTGGGGTGCGGAATACGAAGAGGACGTCTGGGGAGGGAAGGGAAGGAGCAGAGAACAGTCTGGTTGTCAGCACAGACGGGGAAGCCTTGTTTTTGTCTGAATTATAATAAAAAGGTCCCCGTGTATTGGAGGTTTCCAGAAGAAACTCAAAGGCCTTGGTGTATGTCTTCCCATTATCTCAGGTGCTCGCACAGAACTCTGGCTATGATCCTCAAGAAACGCTAGTGAAACTTCAGGCCGAATATGCCGAGTCGGGGCAGCTTGTCGGCGTGGATCTAAATTCTGGTGAGACAGAAAGAGAAACCCCTGTGGGGGAGGTGACCCTCTTGTGGGAAGGGTTGGGCCCCACTTTGTTGTTGAAAGCTGCCTTAAAAATTAGGCTAGGATTGGTGAGAAAACTTCATAAAACAGCTGCTTTCAGCTAATTAAAATGCATCTTTCAGGTATTCTCCATCTAACCAAGAACTGAAATACAGAATCAGGAAAACCCAGTCTAATCTCGATATACAGGCACTTCTAAAATTGCAGCTCTATTTGTTTGGCATGATTGACACCGTCATGAGGTTTTCCCCTTTGGGTTACAGGAGAAGTGTGATCTGAATGCATTGCAGCAAATAAGGGTGTCTGTTGCTACTATACACTCACATTTTAGGTAGTTGCATAACTTTGGAGTGGGGAGGTTAATCTTTCTCATCAGCAGGAATTTCTCTTGACTGAGCTTTGAAGAGTAGAGTTCCTACAACCTTTCTCTAGAATGCCAGACACGTGGGAAATGTGGGTCTAGATGGCACACTCCAGAGCAAACGACACCCATGAATTTTTTTCACTTTGTTCACTGTTGACAGCAGGTGGTTTTGTGTGCATACACGGCTCTCGCTAATCTGTGTGTTCCTTTTGCACGTTCCAGGTGAACCAATGGTGGCTGGAGCAGCTGGAGTGTGGGATAATTTCAGTGTTAAAAAACAGCTGCTTCATTCAAGGTAACATTTTATAACCGTAGAAACCTGTAGATGATTTTGTGGAAGGCATTCATGCTGTCAAGTGTGGACTTCACAAGTGCTTAAGTGCAGCGGGATTTAACTTTTATAGGAAAAGACTTTGCTGCTGGAATGTTTTTGCTAGGATTTGAATTTAGATTTGGGTTCTTGCGTTCTGTGGGGTTGCCAGGTTTTTTCCTCCACAGCATGAAGGGGGCCCCAGAAAATGCATTGGAGCTCATGTAAAGAAGCTTGTCTCGAGGTTCCAGGAACAAGCGGGTGGCTTTCTTCCAAAGCCGCTTGTCCTCCAGGATGTGAAGGGGGGGAAAGGGGAGCCCAGAAAATGCATTGGAGCTCATGTAAAGAAGCTTGTCTCGAGGTTCCAGGAACAAGCGGGTGGCTTTCTTCCAAAGCCGCTTGTCCTCCAGGATGGGTGCCAACCTTTTTTCCCTGTTTCTTTGCAGCACGGTAATTGCTAGCAGCATTCTCTTGGTTGATGAAATCATGCGTGCTGGAATGTCCTCCCTCAAGGGCTGAGCTGAAAGCGGTCCCGAATGGGGGGAAAGTCTCCTCAAGCAGCCTCCAGTGCCCAGATTAAGACCTCCCTTTTGCCCAGTTGAGTTTTCAGAATGAGCGGCGCTGTTGCCTCCTCTCCGCCACCAGGAATTTGGCCGTTCCCAGATGAAAACGGTTGCTTCTGTGGAATCAGATATTATTTATTCTTGACATGCACTGATTCGATACATCTGGCGTTACCTTCCTTTCTACCCAATAAACAATTCCACTCTCTTCTCGTGCTTTGTCCGTTCATGGTGCCTGGCAGCCATTTGGTTGGAGTTCTTTCACAGCTTCCTTGAGGTTTATCCTCTGCATTGTTGGTCGGAGAAAAGAGGGCTGGGAAAAGGCGCTAGTAGCCTTGGGTTCTCTAGTTTTATGTGTAGCACCCCACACACACACACTTTTCCAAGAGGTCACCATCTTCTCTGTGGCTGAGAAGGCCTTGGTGTAAAGGAAATCCATGAGGAGACTTTGGGAAGGAGATGCTGAGGATTAGACCAGTGGTTCTTAACCTTTTTGAAAGAAACGCCCC